GTTGAGAAGCTTGGAAAATTTCGGGTAATTGTGAAATTCATTGTGAACATGGGAACAATTTTCTCCTAAATATGTTTCATAACCGATTCGAATGGTTGCTGCTTTTTTGGAAAGGTGTTTAGAAGGAGTGCACAAAGTTTTAATTTTTCCGATACGTGGGGCAGGGGTCGAGCTACGCTAAAAAATGCATTTGGTACGTAGGTAGCCTTTTGCCTAAATTAGCATATAGGATCCATTTTTCCCTTTAAGTGGGCCAGGGACCGATCTATTCGAAAAAGTCTTATTTATAGTCTGATTTGCTTGAAATTTGGCACGTAGGTAGCGTATTGTCTGGGTTAAAATATAGGATACTTTTTCTGATAGGAGGACCAGATACCGATCTATTGGAAAAAATCTTATTTATGGTGCGATTTGCTTGAAACTTGGCACGAAGGTAGCTTATTGTCGGGGTTAAAATATTGGATACTTTTTCTGATAGTTGGACCAGGGACCGATCTATTCCAAAAATTCTTATTTATGGTCTGATTTGCTTGAAATCCGATACCCGTATTATAGATATGCGTAGAATAGAATTGAGTCATTGTTTTACAGTTCGAAAGGTGTTTGAAGGCGCCGCAAACATGTGGCAATAATAGTTATTCCACACGCCAACAAAAATAGAAACAAATTTGATGTAGCTAATGTTAACGCTATTTTTGACGTAAGCATAAAGTTTCCGTCAGCTCCAGATTTTAAGAAAAACAAGGTCAGTGTCAAAGAATCGCGATTTCGCAACATTTGAGAAGCTCTAGCAAAGATACAAAGGGTGGTAGAACCTCCCACTTAGGCTTAGATTAAAGAAAGAAAATCTCGGCTACTATCCCTGCAAATTCCTGCACCTTTGCTTAATGGTCACTTATATTTATTTGTAGAACAGGAAAAACTGATTTTTGGAAGTTTGAGTACCTACCGCAATTAAGCAAAATTCCACTTAGGCTTAAATTAAAGCTTGGACTTCTGACTTCGATCCCTGAAAATAACATTCCTGCACCTTGACCCTGCGGTCCTTGCTTTACGTTGACTAAACAGAATGTGGATCAATGATACTCACCAGTTTGGAAATTGCCACCAACTAGACTATACAGATTCAAGAACGATTCACCATCGAGCCGCAAGGACTTCTTCCCGGTATAATACTTTCATCAGGTTATTTAAGACGGTAATGGAGGATATGCCTTCTGTCGACCACAAAACCAAACGTGAACGTGAATTGCTGGCGAAAACGTTGGACCAAATATTTCAATAAAGAAATTAATTTTGGGCGGGACGAAGTTCGCCGGGTAAGCTAGTATTTATATATATATATATAAATATATATATATTTATGTATATGGTTGGTTTGTTGTAGTGCTACCTAAGCTATCGCTCAGGAATCAATTAGCGCATAAAACCGCCATTTTGGTGCACTTCTCGTGGACAATGATATTTTATTATACCGTAGCCTACCCATCATTCCAGCGGTTCAGTAAAACCAATTAGAACAGCTTATGAATTTGTATAACTCGCCTATTGTAGCACTAGATAGATCCATTAACTGCTCCACTATGTGTTTCCCGAAAGATTTATGTCTTAAGTAAGCCAGGCCTGGGCATTCGCACTGGAAATGAAATACTGTTTCTTCGCTGCCATCCAAGCCGCAGCTGCGGCATATTATGTTGTATGGAAGACCTATTCTAAAAGCTAGGGACACGCTATCGAACAGAAAGTATCGATATGGTACTCCTTTAAAGTATCGCTTTAAAAATATCGGTTACCCATTAATATCGGAATAAAAAGACTCGAATATCGATACCAAAATCCAAAAAATTTATCTGAATATACTGATTTCTGATTTCTGTTTGTATATGTCTGAGGGGATAACCCAGTATCACCGCTACAGATTCATCCAAACAAGCTCCCGCCTTGGCCAGTTCGTCTGCTCCCTCGTTGCCTTCTATGTTCCTATGGCCGGGAACCTAGACAAGAGAGATGGACATTGACTGAGACGCTGAGCGTAACTCCATCTTGTATTCCTTGACTAGCTTGGACTTGGTTACAGTGGATGATATAGCCAGGCTATCTGAGTAAATAACCGCTCTTTCTTTCCTGGTAGCACTATTCCTTAGTATTCTACAGGCTTCACAAATGCCCAGAACTTCAGCCCTAAATATGCTAGGATGGTTTTCCAGCCGGAGGGACCTATTGACACCAAGCTCCTCGGAATATACCCCTGTCCCTACACCGCAGTCCATCTTGGACCCGTCAGTGTAGACACAGATGGCTTCCCTATCGGCAGTTTGGCCCCTTTTCCATTCCCTTCTGGATGGAAACCGCACTTGTACATTCAAGCCAAAATCGAGGGTTGATACCATATAGTCCGTGGTTTTATTTCCTATCGAAGTAAGGCCTAAGATTGAGCTATGCCCAAACGTTCTCGATCACCACAGCCCTGACTCTCTGAGTCTTAATGCTGAGTACATCGCGGCTTCCTTTAGGCATAGATCAATGAGCATCATATTGAGGATTACATTCAGTGCTTCTCAAGGGCAGGATTTCAGTGCGCCAGTTGTCCCCGACCATGCCGCTCTTTGTAAGCTATTTAGTTTGCTGACATTGTATTGTTTGTCTAAGGCTGGCCACCATACTAGGGCGCCGTAGGTTAGGATCGGTCTTATGATAGCGGTGTACATCCACATCAAAGTTTCGGTTTTAAACCCCAGCTTCTATTGAAGATCCGTTTACAAGTATAATAAGCGATGTAGGCCCTCTCTTTACGTTTCTCAACGTTAAGTTTCCAGTTTAGTTTGGTATCTAGAATTACTCCCAGATATTTTGCGTTGGACGATAGGGGGATTGTCTTCCCGCCTATGGATGGAAGTCTAAATTGGGGTATCTTATACTTATTAGTAAACAGTAACAACTCAGTTTTGTCTGCATTTACGTTAAGGCCACTGCCTTTAGCCCACGTGTGTAGTCCACCCAGCGCTTTTGCTAGAATTTCACTTACAGCAGTGAGAAAAGGTCCTGTGACCGCTATCACTACATCGTCAGCATACGCCACTACATTAACTCCACCTCTGTTGAGTTCTAGCAGTATGCTGTTTAGTGCTACAACCCACAACAGTGGGGAGAGTACACCACCCTGGGGAGTACCTCTACGCACATATCTAGTTATTAGACTATCTCCGCATTTCGCCTGAAAAATTCTGCTTTCTAGCATGGAGCGTACCCAGCCAACCATACCGCCGTCAACACCAACCCCCATGAGTGATTGGATGATGGTGTCAACTTCAATGTTGTTGAAGGCGCCCTCGATATCCAGGAAAGCGGATAAAGTGTATTGCTTGAAGCGAAGTGATTTTTCTATGAGCCCCACCACTGCATGCAAAGCTGACTCCGTCGATTTTCCTTTGATGTAAGCATGTTGTGCTGTTGATAGGGATTCTTCCCTCAAGAACAATCTTATATATATATATATCTATTAGCCTTTCCAGTGCTTTAAGAACAAAGGAATTTAGGCTTAGAGGTCTAAAGACTTTCGCTGTTTCGTGGTTCTTCCTACTGGGCTAAGGAACGAACACTACTTTGACACGTCTCCAGCTCTGGGGACATAGTTCATACTAATACAAGCTCTATAGAGGCTTTCAAGTAGCGGTGCTATGTGCTCCTTTACATTCTGTAACATGGCCGGTATTATACCATCTGGGCCTGGAGATTTAAAGGGAGAGAAACTATTTATTGCATAGATGACCTTTTCGTTGCTTATTATAGTTTCAAGTTCTCTATTTGGTTTGTATGTGGGTTCCTTTCCATCTGATGCTGCTGCATTCTGTTCACAGCCTGGAAAATGGAATTGAACTAGTGTTTTTAAAGACTCATCCATGGAATTTGTCCATACATCATTTATGTTTTTAACAAATGAGGGTTTAGTGTACTCCTTTGAGAAGATCTTACTTAGCCTAGCTGAGTCTCTTACACTTTCTATCGAGGAACAGTATGTTTGCCAGGACTTGGCCTTTGCTATCCTTAGTTCCTTTTTATATGATTTTAGCGCACTTTTGTAGGGCACCCAATTCTTGGACCTAAAGCACTCGTTAAAAAGTTTTCTAACGCTATTTCTAAGAGTTCTAAGCTCCCCATTCCACCATGGTGGGGATTTCTTTTTCATGACACTCAGTGGGGTTGATCTTTCATAGGCTTTAGTCATCGCCCCCTCTAAGTTGCTTACGTTTCGTTCTATCTCATCTATTGAGGTAATATTTACTACCAGATTAACTTTAGTTAGTTTTCTCGTCAAAACTCTATTATATTTCTCCGAATTGGTTCTACGTGGGTTCCTGTATTTAGAGGGGGTGTAGGATACTCCGCGTAGATTAAAGAGTATCCAGCAGTGATCAGACATTGATGGCCTGTCGGAAACTCTCCAGTTCTCAATGGTAACGCGATCGTTCTCAGACAGCAACGTTAGGTCCAACACCTCCTCCCACCCAGGAAGCCGGTCTGAAGTTGGGAAGATAAAGGTTGGTCGGTTACCAGTATTGCAAATACTCAAACTAGTGTTTAATAAATAGTGTAGAAGTGACTCACCTCGGTCGTTTTCTATTGTGCTGCCCTAAACTGGATGCCTGGCGTTTGCATCGCATCCTATGACAATGGCTCGTCTGGGATTCCGGTCTACTATAGTTTTGATTTCCGATGGCGGACTATCTCGTTCATGGGACATATAAAACGACACTAACAAGACGTCCTGTTGTCCTGCCGTCTCCACCTTAGCTACTGTTGTGTCTGCTGTGCTGAAATTAGAGCAAAGGAATGCATTTATACCCTTCTTGATAAGAATACACGCCCGTGGTTTACAAATCTCGCTCTTGTAGAAGAGATTGTAATTGTTGATATTAAGGCCCATTACTTCGTCGTTCCTGACCCAGGGCTCCTGTAGTAGGCTAATGCCGATATCCTCTTCTCTGAGAAGTTCGACTAGACTATCTGTAGCACACTTCGAGTGCTGCAGATTTATTTGGACTATCTTGCTGGTCCGGTTCATCGCTCAGTTTCACTCCCATAAGGAGTTCTCCTGCACCGTCGACGCCCGGGTCCTCTTCTACTGGGCTGACTTCACGAAGGAATACTCTTACCTTAGCTTTTCTAATGCCGAACCGAATCTTATAGCCGGCCTCTGCTAGGGCCTCCAAGGATTCGGAGCAAATCGCTAGGACAATTGGCTTGTTTGTGGGCTCTCTCGGCTCTTCAACTTTGATGAGCTCCCACTCGTCTATTGCTGGTATGTTTTTATTATGCAGCTTTACACACCGCAGCAACTTTTCGCCAGGTTCGGCTATCGGAGGTAACCAAATGCGCGCACGGGGCCTCCTAGGGATGTCCTTGGCTGGTATGAGCTTGAGCTTCAAGCCGTCGAATGCGTCGCTAATCTCTGCTACACACCCAGCGAGGAAGTCCAAGGAGAACTGGTCCACGCATTTGATGACCCGGTATCCCCTCAGGGATTCCGATGAGTCAAACTCTGGATGAGAACCTTCGGGGTTGTCGAGGACGTAATCCATTACGAGACTCGACAGCCTCACATCGATCTCCACCCACTTTTGCTGCACTGCTAGCGGCGTTCTGCTACCTTCGTCAATAATTGAAGTCTGAAGATGGTCTCTTGCAAAGTCGCTGAAGTAGCGATGCTTGGTGGATGTTGCGGACTCCGCTACATCCCCCTGCTTCAATCGTTTGCGGTCAGCTACGTTGCCATTCTCGTTTTGAGACTTGTTCCTTTTTTGGGTTTCGCTAGATCCCATGGTGGCAGTACGTTCTGTTTGGAATTTTTCATATTCTTCCACCATGGCCATATATCTACGCTTATCTTCCTCATCGCGCTCGTCTACACGTCCGGCTGCTGCATTTCTCTCGATTTTGTCGAGCATGTACAGAGCCATCTGGTACCGTTGCTTCATGAACGCGTTTGAGGGTTTCCTATGCTTTTGCAGCTGGGTACTGCTGGTACCGGCCGCATGCTTGCTACATACTGGTTTTTTTTTTCGGTGTAATATGGCTGGCACTACCGGTACTAAAATTTTCTAATTGCAAAACGGCGGTACTATGGCTGGCACCTTCCGTTTTGCTGCTGATTCTCGCTTTATCCTCTGAGGTGCTATGGCTGGCACCAACAGAGGAAATCGCTGTCGGGTTTGGTGGTTTTGCAGGGGATTTCAGGAGCTGTTCTTCTCCTCCGATAGTGTCACATCTTCCTCAGGCTTTTGTTTTTGTTCTTGCTGTTGTTGTTGTTTTTGTTTAATTTCTTTGTTCATTTGTGGTCCCACGAGTTGTCCGGAAGGAGTTCGTCACTCGTCCGCAGAGCCGGTATGCATGGAGAAGGCACTCCTAGAACCGACCTTGCCCGGACATCGGAGGGGACCGTTCGCGACCAGCCAAATTTTACTACCCGCTGGCCATTTATCCATCGGCACAGTGGCCTTCACACCTTGGCTTGGGTAGTGTTGGTGCGGTAATCCCCGCATTGCTCTCCTCAGCGGTTCAAAGCAACGTTTAATCTTGAAGCGTCAAGAAGTGCTGAAGAAGGATGCAATACTGGGCTTCCCTCTTAGTTCATGTTGCCATGGTGCGCCCCACACTGTGACATCATTTAAGCTTCCCCGCCACGGCAAGACGACCAACGTTGAGGAAGGTATTTAAAAAAAAACTGCCCAAACCATTTGCATGTACATAAATTCGCAAGAGTAAGGTAAAGTCAAAAAAAGTACTCACTCACTTTTTCCGCTCCTTCGTCGATGGTGGTACCAGCATCCCGCAGAAGAGCCTGTGTGGGGGGAAGAAAACCATACATACGCATATACATAAATTCTCTCATACATAAAAGTACTAGCCTAGCGTGTCGGGACTAGGAATAGTATCAGTAGTACGACGGATCACTCGATAGCAATCGCGGAAAGTTATTAAATCTGCAAAAAAAAAGTGTTTAAAAGTGAAATAAGAATTTTTATAAGCGCAAAGAAACCAAAGTGAACTTAAAATTAAGTGATTCGGTATAAAAAAAAAGTAAAGTCAAATCATGAATTCAAAAATCACCTCTTTTTGAAAACCTGACAACAAAATCCATAATCCAATGGCCATAAAAAGTTATTACACGTGGGTAAAGGAAACTACAAAAAGGAGATCAAGCAAATGGAGAAAACGTGAACTAAAGCTTATATTGGTTTCTTTGCCCTTTCTCAATTAAAGAAAACCGAAAATTGATTTTAGTTATTCAACCTAATAAAATAAAAGATACTAAAAATATATATATCCCTTTATAACTCAACTAAATTAAAAAAGTAAAATCATACGGATTCTAATAGATTTTAGTAAAAAATGAAACACGTATTTTTTAATTTTCAAGATTTTTCTTTTATTTGGGGAGGAAACAGCCGAAAAGGGAGTGTAACAGATATGTCACATTATGTGACAACTTCTCCAAAAAAAAAACATAAACAAACACATTAGCATGTATGGAATAATTTAAAGCAATTGTTCTGCTTGTTGTAGCATAAAGGTACACATTTTTCACATACCGTTTGTGACACTCCACTGCATCCTGGGCGCTTGCAACGGATTCTCTTCTCGGCCCATACCGGCCAGTGCCCAACTTGGTCTTGCCTAACTGCAATTAGAGGAACATGTTGAGCAGGGCCCTTATGCTTTTACGCTTGAATATCCGCTTCTTTCCACCTCTGCGTTTTATGGTTGTCTTTGTACCTAATTTGCACAGGACCGTAGCAACCTCCAAACGAAAATCTGCTGATGACAACTGATTGTCCTGCACATTCTTTTCTTTGCGAACTCTTTTGTATAAGAGCCAAGCATTAGATATTGCAAGATCTAAAAAGTGGTAAAACATGCGAACTTGCCATCTTTTACTTCTCAACAATATTTTATAGCGGCCCATGATGCTGTCGATGAGATCGACCCCACCCATGTGACGATTATACTCGGCCACTATGTAAGGTCGTTCAATAGTAATATATTTTTTGTTGGCCTTATCATAGCGCCGTACTTCGGACTTCGGTAGCTCACCAGCAAAACTAGATGCTAGAGTAACAGATTTGTTGTCCTTCCAAACAACGGAAGCTACATCTACTCCTCCCACATTTGCAACATATTCGACGGAGTGCCCACGACCCTTTTTAGAAATATCCTTATCTGTCGGAAATTTACAGTCAGGTATTCTATTTCGACGTATTGTTCCTAAGCTGAGGATCCCTTCCTTGGCCAAATATTCTATCAGTTGCAACGACGTAAAATAGTTGTCAAAATAAAGCCTATAATTTTGATTCCTCGGGATATTTCTGGCCAGTCTCATTACAACGTTTGAGGCAGCACCCAAATCTGGCTCTCCAGGCTCTATAATATTTTCAGCTCCAGATTCTACTTCAAAACTGTACGCGAAACCGCTAGTGTCGCAAAGTACAAATATTTTATATCCCCATTTTTTCGGCTTTTTGGGATTATACCTTTTCAAGTTATTCCTTGCTTTCGTTGAGCAAATTTGCTCGTCTACACAAACCTGACTCTTTAGCGTAATTTGCATACATGTTTCGTTCAATTTTGTCAGTATTGGTCGAATCTTAAACAGCTTATCCGCGTTGGGATGCTGGCGAGGAGGCATTTTGGAATTGTCATTGAAGTGTATAAATTGCCTGATTTTTTCAAATTTGTTTGCTGGCATCGTTTCCTTTATGAAGGGTGCTCCGATTTCATAATTCCAATGTTTCGTCACTCTTGGAAGATGTACCAAAGACATTATATACGTTATTCCAATAAATTGCTGGATATCGATTTCGGACACATGGAAATTCTTGCTGGGGTCCTTTTCTATAATGTAAGTATTGGTTTGCTCAGCGATATTCAAAAATAATTCGTGAGGAAATATTTTTAGAAAAAAATGGATGGGCGTTTCTAGATCCAAAATATCACTAGGTAGTTCTTCCTTTCCTGAGAATCGAAGTTGATGTTAATTTAGCTCAATACTTTTTTCTTCCAGAAAACATTCTTTAGTTTAATGCGACGTGATGAGCCAGGCTGAGTAGCGTTTGCAAATACGGATGTTTGCTCTAAGTCACTATCAGAGTTATTGTTTTCGATTTCATTGTGTCCGTCGCCCTGATCGAAATCGGTATCGAAGTTTAAACTTACATTGTTCTACGGCTCAAAATCGGGATCGGCAATGCTATCATCGTCACTTTCGAACCCGTCTTCACTATCCTCAAAATTTATCAATTCCTCAAAGAGTAAAGCAGAAACCAAGCATAAGCACTTTTAGTGGCCCTTGTACCTCAATGTTACAAAAATGATACAAACACAAATTTTGCTTCTGTATCGTAATTATGGCACTTTTTTGCTTAGTTAATACAAAATATGCACAAAAATGAACTTACCTGTACTTTTAAACAAAAGATTTTATTAAAAAAACTCAATAGTTATTTTCTATGAAATTCGTAAAGAGAGCATGCATGTGTTCACTAACTTCACCAAACTTGAAATTGAAATAAGGTTTTAGGCAGTAATGCCATGTGTTAAACAAATAAATAACCTGCAATTGTATAAAACGCTTTGTATCAGTGCTGTCACAACAAGTAAAAATGAACCAAATTATTTTTTCACCGTCGTGCGTGCTCGGAAGGGGTTTGTAACATATATGTTATATGATGCTATAAAGGGATATACATGCCAATACTTTTTATAAAACAAATTCAAACCAAATCAAATCAACAAAGAAAAGTGATATCTTGCCGATCAAAGCGTGCAAAATAAAAAACAAGTAAGAAGGTCTAAGTTCGGGCGGAGGCGAACATTAAATACCCGGCGCACGTATTAAATATATGTTTTTCACCTTACCGAAAGCTACCGCTACATGGTAAGCGTATCAATTTTGAGTAAATTAGAGTCCTTGATTTCGAAATTTTGAAGTTGCAAGCAGTTCTGAAATTTACCGTTATATGTAACGTAATTTTATTCCGCTTTCAATAATTTTCAACGTTTTGCTTTTATGTGGCAAGCACAATAACCATACCGAGTTTGGTACAAATTTGTAGAACGGTTACCGAGATACATACATATATGTGATCATAAGTGGGCAGTGCCACGCCCATTTTCCAAAATTTTATCACAAACGTATTTCTTTGTTAAGAATTGTTGCAAGCATCAATTTTGAATACATTAGCTTTATTATTTACTGATTTATCGAAGATTTTGTATTTCTCTAAATTACCGTTATATGGGATGCGGGCGTGGTTATTGTCCGATTTTCAAAATTTTGGTATGTTGTGCGAAGGCCAACAACTGTGCCAAGTTTGGAAGAAATTGGTGCAGCGGTTACCAAGATATACACAAGTAACCATAAGGGGGCGTGGCTACGCCCATTTTCCGAAAATTTATAATATTCTTATTTGTCGTCTAAAACTTATTGTAAATATCAATTTTGAGTGAAAAATCTCCTGTAGTTACTAAAATACCGCAGTTTTCGTATTTCTCTAAATTACCGTTATATGGGATGTGGGCGTGGTTACGGTCCGATTTCGGCCATTTTCAATACCAACCTACCTTGGATAAATGTAAACCTTCATACCAAATTTCGTTCAGATATCTCAATTTTTTCTCGAGTTATCGTGTACACGGACGGACGGACAGACGGACAGACGGACAGACGGACGGACAGACAGACATGGCTTAATCGATTTCTCTTTTCATTCTGATCATTTATGTATACATTTGTCTATATCTATCTCGATTCGTTTTGGCTGTTACAAACAACCGTTATGTGAACAAAATTAATATACCCTTGTGCAAAAGTGCGCTCGGGTATAAAAATAGGAAAACGCTAGTAAACTAATAAATTCCAGTACAAAAAGACGTGATAAACTGTATGAAAACAAGTAAGAAAGTCTAAGTTCGGGCGGAGCTGAACATTAAATATATGTTTTTTCACCCTTCCGAAACCTTCCGCTAGATGGTAAGCCGAGGTGTATCAATTTTGAGTAAATTAGCGTCCTTCAATTTCGAAATATTGAAGTTTCAAGCATTTCTTAAATTTACCGTTATATGAGAATCGGCCGTTATTTTAGTCCGATTTCAATAATTTTCAACGTTTTGCTTACACGTGGCAAGTACAATAACCATACCGAGTTTGGTACAAATTGGTAGAACGGTTACCGATGTATGTACTTATATGTGATCATAAGTGGGCGGTGCCACGCCCATTTTCCAAAATTTTACCATAAACGTATTTCTTGGTAAAGAATTGTTGCAAGCATCAATTTTGAATAAATTAGCTTCAATATTTAATGATTTATCAAAGATTTTGTATTTCTCTAAATTACCGTTATAAGGGATGTGGGCGTGGTTATTGTCCGATTTTAAAAAGTTTCGGCGGTTTTTTATGCTGTACCAAGGCCAACAACTGTGCCAAGTTTGGAAGAAATTGCTGCAGCGGTTACCAAGATATACACATGTAACCATAAGTGGGCGTGGCTACACCCATTTTCCAAAAATTTATAATATTCTTATTTTTCGTCTAAAACTTATTATAAATATCAATTTTGAGTGAATAATCTCCAGTAGTTACTAAAATATC